ATCAAATCAGTTCTTGAACAAACCCCTATATATACCAAAGCTGTCTTACCTGCAGCATCTCACGACTTTAGCATCCCTCCACCACCCCGTCACCTCACCACTTGCCTTGAATTCCTGGGGAGCGTTCTGGGGCCGGGCTAGATACTTCGCTCGAATACCAACTCCTCTTTGTTTCCTGATAAGGGGCCCTATCATACACCCGGCGCAGTGTGGCGCAAGGCGTGGCGCAGTAGTCTTTTGGTAGTTTCAGCTTGGCGCAAGAGTGGTTTTGAGGCGTTGCGCTACGCTGTTTAAATAGCAAATGCATTAGCGCTCATATGTGCGCCCATAGGAGTTCTGGTCTAAAAAGGAAGGCGTTCTGAGGCGGACCGCTGGCGCGTTGCTATTTTGAGAAACTATAATAGATTTTTCATTAGACCAAAACAAACCCGGTCTAAACTCTAGCGCAGAGTTCTGCCTCACTTACACACTGCTTAATACGCACAAGAGAGCAATAGGCAAATATCTTTACATATGAAAAAAATTAAATATTAAGGATATATATAGGATATAATAAGAATAGATATAGAATATAAATATAAAGGATTAAAATATTACAAAACATATTATTTTCTAGCCTACATCAATATGAAAAATCACTGCTTTTATGTCTTCTTCATCTCGGGAGGCTTTTTCAGTTCATTCATAACAATTTGCTTTTGTATAATGTTATTATTATTATTAGCAGTATTATTTATTATATCCATATTTATATTTGGTTTATTAAAAACAAGCTTAGATTTGTCCACCTGTCAGGTTTTAGACCATATGGGGCACAGCATGTGTTTTAGGATATAACTCAGGTTTTTGAACACACTTTGTTATTATTGTTCATTTATTAGTTTGCTGGAAATTAGAACTGAATTGAGAAATAGTTTTGAAACGAATATTTGCGCTTAACAAATGCAATTAATTATTTATAGACTAATTGATGTCTGTGCGTAAAGGTTTCCCTATCCAAGAGCGAAAGTGAAAGTAGATCCATTATCTCTCATTCTTACGCAGTAGATGCTCTGTTTAACTGTTTTCTGTTAAAAACTGTGAACTGTTTGCTAGTGAAATGCTCAGTTTTTCCACTTAGACTTACTTTGCGTCCTGTAAATAGCGAATGCGCTCTTGGCGCGATGCAGCTGGCTCTTAAAGGGAATGGGAGATGAGACTCTAATTGGTTTATTCTCAAAACACACCTATAACTCATTAAGAAAATAAACTCAACCCTTTTAGACCATGTGCCACGGCGCAAGGCAGATTTCCCATCCTTAAATTAGCAAAAACGTGTCCTGACACGCCCTGAAAGCGTTTGCGCCCTGCGTTTTGCGCTCTGCGCATGGACCGTCAAAATAGAGCCCAAGGGGAATAACTCGAGTTGGGGTGTCTCCTCGAGCTCAGAGCCCTCCCCCCGGACAGCACGCCAAATATGCTTTATACTTAAACGAATGCAAGTGTGAACTCATGAATAAAGGGACTAACCTGACAAGAAAATGAATGAATGAATGAATGTAGATCCTTCTCATTGTAAAGATTTTATAAATGTATTGCTTTTTTGGCAAAATTTTACATCCATAAATGTACATTTTCAAAGAAACACCCTAACTTTTTTTATTTTCAGAAAGGACTTTAATTGATATGTGAACTCTTTAAAAGACTCTAACAATTACATTGCATGTAAAACGCTTTCTCTGTGTAAATCATTGTAACTTGTTTAATTTGCTGGAATTTTATTTATGTAACCCTCTTTGTCTCCTTGTTCATATTGTATCTTTATAATGTCCTTTCTTGCATAATAAAAATAATAAAAAAATACATATTTGTACCCAAAGGGTCCACAGTGGTACCTCGTGGTGCATATTAGTGCCCAAACATACCTTTTAAGGTACTATTAGGAACCCTTCAGGTACAAATATAAACCTTTTGAAAGGGTACTGACCCAGTAAAAGCTCCTGTACCTTTATTTCTGAGAGTGTAGTATACACTGCATATTAGATATGCTTATTAAAGAGCACCTTTTGTGCAAAAATCACTTTTATAAGGGGTTTAAACACAGCTGTGTGGCAGCAGTGTGTGAATATAGCCAGCCTTTAACGGTACAAATTAATTAACATATTTTTTTTCTAATCAGACTTGATAAAAACAGTTTGCAGAAACACTTTGATTGACATTCCCCCTTGTCTGTGTAAAAGTGTGTGTGTTTGTGTGGTTGAGAGAAAGCGAGAGAGTGTTTGTGTAAATGTGTGTATGTGAGAGAGTATGAGTGTGTGTTTGTGTAAGCATGTGTGTTTGTGTAAATATATCTGCGTGTGTGTGTGTGTGTGTGTGTGTGTGCAGATGAGAGACTCTTCCAGTATTCGTCTCTGTCGTGCAGCATAAGCCACTGTCCTCTGTGGACCAAATGAAGACAAAGATTCATTCAGTCTGTCAACAATCAGAGCACGGGCTCTCCGTCCGCCTGTAAGCCCTAACTAGTGCACTTCACTTCATCACTCCACGTTTCCCCCTATAGAGACGCAGCGGTGAGCCTGGCCAACAGAAATCCCATTCATTTTCTCCACGGAGGAATTGATTTTCAACAATAACACATAAACCTTTCAGAGCAGACCCACGGTGAGCTTGAGGTTAAGGTATTTTCAGCTTCATTTGGAAAGAAATCAAGTTTAATACTGAGAGTCTGAATCTCACAGTGGACACAATCCAACACAATGATCCCTCTGTGTGTTAGAGACGCTGGGAACATCCTGTACATAAAACATCATAAGACTATATGATTATGAACAGTTGAAGTCAGAATTATTTGCCCTCCTGTATATTATTTTCCCTAATTTCTGTTTCAAGAGTTCACACTAAGCTGATGATTGATTATAAAGTTGGTTTGGAACGCTGTCCTAGGAAAGAGCCCTGAGCTCATAAGATCCTCGAGCCTGGGGCTCCCTCCCGTTTGCAAGGCGAGAAGGGAGTTTGAGCTCAGGTAGATCTCGAGAACTCCCCTGCTGTAGTAGTTAATTAACAGATAGTGATTGCTCTTAAGAGATAACTTACTAGGAGCAACTTAAGTTAACTTACGTTGCATGATTTCGGACCAACTCAGTCAAATTCTGAAAATGTAGACACGTGAACGTTTTTGGAGACTGCGAAATATGTCTTGGAAGCTATGTATTTTTGCAGTTTTTGTTTTCAAAAACCTGCTAGAGACCACTGTGTGTTTTTGTATCTCAAATGTCTCTCGCGAGCATCGTTTGCAGCCACGATGTTCTCACGTAAACCCACCAGAGGCCGCTGTTGAACGACCGTCTGTCTGTCTGACTGGGTGACCGGTCAACCGACTATCCCACCCTCTTCCTTCCCTAAACCCAACCAATTTTACCGATTGACCCACCCGCACGCTTACTTCCCTAAAGCCAACCAACAATTTCTACCAGAAAGACTCTAGGAGGCAGATAAACGTTTGAACATTTATTGTGAATTGTTTGCATGAATGAGAGTTCGTTACGGTCCTTTCATAAAGTTCTTTGGCGTAGGCCCCGTCTACAGAGCAGAACTCTGGATGAGCTGGCAGATCCTGCCTGAAGATGAAGGCAGGGCGAAGCCAACCCCCTGAGTGGAGACGAGGCCAACCTGGTGGTGGTGGTGGGGATAGGGAGGATGGAGGGAAACTTCCGCAACGTCACCTGAATACAGCGAAACAGATTGTTTTGATGAGCTTTTATACATGGCTTACTTGGTTGTTATAGGCTGACGAGATAATTATTATGAATGACGTGACATCTCAGTCTTCCTGGTAGAACCTTCGCTAAAGCTTTCATTTACAAAACCCGTCCAGAAAAAGAAAAGCCCTCATCTGATTTTTACCAGGTTTTCAGATTTTACCACATTCTCACCCTGTTGTTCACTCGTTCATTTTATTTTTGGATTCTGTTTTTGTAAAATTGCTGTTTTTTACACGACGAGTTACCTGGACAAACTATTGCGGTGAGAAAGCCCTCCACACTGAGGTAAAAGGTCAGTCGGTAAGTGGCAAAAGGAACGGCGTCATACTGCAGCTATACGTACCTCCGGCTACATAATTCGCAATCTCCAGTGATATCCTCCTGAAAACCAAAGAAACATGTTTTCTTTTTTTCTGTGATCTCCTACATCCTTTGGGTTAAAAAATATCTACAATTTAGAGTTTTTACATTTTGTTTTTACTTTTAATTTTACAGCATGTCCACTGAAGCGGACCACAGAACCATTTTAGTTCAAAACAACCGCCACTGAAGGCATATTAATGCAATATTAATGTAACAATTTTTTTGCCATTTTTTTCTTTTGTATTGAAATTAATGAAACTGTTTAGTCTGAAATAAAAAAAAAGAAGTGCTATTAATTCAAAACAAATTTAACTCAAGTGATTTAAAACTGATAGTCATTCTGTAATTGTCTATAATTCTCTAACTGTCTGACTGTCAGACTCTAAATCAGAGTCTCCCTCAACTACCTTATAAAGAATCCTCTCTGCTTCAGTTCTGCCTCCTACAACATGCAGTCAATAATTACATTTAGATAGTCCTGGGGCCTCATGTACTAAGAATTGCGTGGAAATCAAACTAAAACATTCCGTACGCACAAAGCTGTAAATGTGCGTACGCAGAAAAAAAATCTGATGTATGAAACACTGCGTACGCCGAATCTCACGCAGATTCTTTGTACATCCGAATGAACGTGAAACTGAGCGCAACATGCACGAGCACAAAACCCCTCCCTGCCTCCTCCCCCGTATGAATATGCTAATGACTCTACCTTGGCAAAACCCAACAAGAAAGCAATGGCAAAAGCAAGCAAGAAGAGAAACTTTAAACAGAATGTGAATTGGAGGTATCAGGCAGGCGGCAGACAGGGACAAAAAGGCAAGCAAAAAGGCAAGCAAGGCTAAGGTCATAACACAGGAAAACAAGACAAGGATAACATGTTGTAATGTCACTTTACAGATGAACAAGACTCTGAAGGCTCGGCCATCTTGTGAGCTGGAGGACTGTAGGCAGCCATCTTGTGAACTGGAGGACTGGAAGCGGCCATCTTGAGAGCTGGAGGATGTGCCGTAGACTAAAGTGTAGGTGCCAGACCCCCCCCCCCCCATTATGAATGT